GTCGATGGCTCCTTCAGAGTCTCGACTAGGGCATTGAGTAATACATTTGTCCGCACCACCACAGGGACTTCCTCCAATATCGAAGAGAACGTCAGGCGGCTTTCGATGAGGCTAAACAGCACAGGGATGTATATTTAGTCGTCATAAAGGTCCCCTTTTCAGGTAGAGTGCTCACCTTGTTGTGTTGAATTTGCCACGTTTGTGCGCTTCAAGGAAGGCAGGCGTCAACCTGAAGGCCCGGAATCCTGCATTGCCTCGTGCGGTCTGCGAAACATCTGGTTGGGAACAACGTCGATTAGCGGGAAAGCCCTTAATAATAAAGCTAAACCAGACAAATTAGCCTCAACTTACCATGTACGATCACAACGCCGCCACGTCTAAGTTTCTCTCTCTGAGTGGCCAGGGACTCGACCAAAGTGTGTGTGAAGAAAGCACCATATGTTGTGCACTGGTAGAATCCGACAACGCTGTCATCCCCATGGACTTCCTTAAGAGAACGAAGCATTGCATTCTGGTAGCGTGCTGGCAGAAAGAAAATAGCACAGTAAGAGGCCTGCAAAGAACAAAAAAGGCAACAGCAGAGGGCCTCACCAGCAGTCTTCCCCGACCTCTCCTCCTCATCTGCGGCATGGGGCATCGCGAAGCAATTAGAAATCTCCAACGTTCCATCTAAATCCAACCCCAACAACAAGCCGTACGCTCCAGCAGGGGCATCCCGTCCATGCTTGATGATTTTGCTGATAACCTAATCCACCCGGAAAAGTAAAGGACACGTCAGATTTCCATCTCCCACCACAGAAATCCATCGATACGCACCAACCCATCGACCTGAACCCTCGTAATAGGAATTTCCCCCTCCGTATCTATAATCTTTGCCATCGACGCTGGGATGGCTTCGTAGGTTGGTGCGGCTGGGGCAGGGGCCGCTTGGGGCGCAGGGAGTGAAGCAGCTAACGCTGCAGCCATAGTGCTCGCCATTTTGATTAGAGTGGGCTCGGTATGTAGTGTGAAAAGGCGAGCCTTGGTTTTTTTTGGATGGGTACGATGTCTAGAGACAGTTGAGTCTAACGAGTTCGTCTGTGGGCGTCTGTGGATCCTTGTGGGCGTATATTAACATGGTATAGAATGAGCTAAATATTTAGCTCACAAGCCGCGTTGGCCTAATTGGTAGGGCGTCTCTTTCCTATTTAAGCTATAGGAGAAGCTTGCGGGTTCGAGTCCCGTACGTGGTAGTAGTTTTTGTTCTATTTGTGACCTTTTGCGAACAGCCCTCATTCTCTATGACATCACCCATCTTTTATATCTGGAATGGATAGTTCTCACAAAGGCATTTTCTTGTCGTGTCACAATGTATATTTTTCGTATCCACTACTGAAGCTTTCGATTCCCGTTCGTGCCTGTCATTCAGTTTTGTGTCTTGCATAAATAGGAGAACACGCATGCACCAAGCTTTCGGATTTCGAGTCCCATACGCCGTATAATTATTCTGCTTATTAAACTTACGCGCGGTTCGGTCTTTCAGAACAGCCCCCACAGGGACACAGAGGTGTAGTACCTCATCTTTAACGCGATTCATTACAGTAATCCGGGGGTTACGTCCATTCCTTCGTGCAGGGCTTCAATAATTTGAAGAACGTAATGTTTCTTCGCCCGGAATTAAGTAAGTATTCCATCTGCATCTCTAGGCTGCTCACCAAATGAATCAGTCGTCTAACGGCCTAGACTCTACTACGCGAGTCCCAACTCGGGACACTAGTGGTGGTAAAGCCTAGTAGACCTGAAGGTGTTGAATTATCCTTCCAGTTCACCATACGTCTGATACTTGCTCTGCGCACAAGTACACCGGTAACATCCACGGGTCTACGGCCTATTTATTCTTGCTTGTTCATTGACAGGAAGTGCAGGAGTGGTATTGGAAATTTAATCCCTGCCGCGTAGTGAGTAATCCTCACTGTCTTTCTTAATAAGTAGATGCCAGCTAGTCAGTCACAACATTTAATTTAGAAATGTAGGCTTAACAAGAACGGATGATCTTCCTATCAATGTTGTGCTCCATTGATGGCATCCCGTTCCACCCCGGTCAATCACTCGCGAGTCGCACATGTAGTGACTGTTGAATATTCCAGGCCCATTTTACCGACATCAGACACCCTAAATACCCTCTAAATCAGGCAAGAGCGTATTCACGTTAATTCCAATTGGTTAGTAGGAGTTTGTCCAAGCCTGTCCACCACTGATGCAGGACTAACGTCCCTGGTGTGTCTGGTTCCTGCCAGTGATAAGCCCATTTGTAACTGGCGAGTACACACTTAACTCGTAATACCCAGTGAGCACTGTGGATGGTGGGGATAACTGCTTAATATGTTTTAGACAGCGATGATTTACTGGCCTTATAACTTGTAATAAAGAAGCAGGATCAAGGGGTGAGTCTGCGATAGCGCTTCCTGACTGCTATTAGACCCTTATCAATGTTTGAGTATATCTGTATTCTAACCATTACGTATGCACTATCCGTTATCATGTTTAGGTTTTGCCCAATATTAGATATATCCAATCTCAAGTGACAGCGTTATCGCTGCGTGTTCACCGAGGAGGTATAAAGGTGTGAGGTATAGCATCTAAAAGTAAGAGATCTATATCCTTCGATTCCCCGCGCTGATCTTCGTTTTCGAACGCTTCGTGCGACGAAGACATCCCTTGGTAAAGAGGATAGTCTAAGTTCAAGGAGCACAGGAGCGATTTCTGAAGAACAGCGCGAGAGAGGGCCGCAGTTTAGGAATATACCGTAGAAATTGATGCATTCCTTGTTGTTTGTAATGTTACTTATTTGTGTTAAGTGTGGTGTTTGTTAATGGAGAAATTATCAACCATTTATTACGAATATCATAATACATTTAACTATATGCAATATTCTACGCGTGATTTCGTTCATCCAGGGTTCAAACCTGTCATCGAAACCGTCTGTCCCTTCTAAGGACTCACACAATCCGGGGTTCAGTCTTTTCTGCTGTACTTCCTTCTCCCAGTGTAATAAGCTCTGCATTATTGGTTTATTTCGCGCCATTTTCTACAGGTAGCAAACGTTAGCGGCGTCAATCAAGTGTCAATAGGGCGTTTGCAAGGCGTCAACACACTTTGCTCCTTATCACTGGTCAGCTTCAACTGTACAGCGCGCTCTAGACGCGCGCCTTTGCTTCATTGCCTTTCTTACTCCCAACAAATTACTTTAGATGACGCACTCCATAAATCTGATAGTGCCTTTTATCCCCGATACCTATTCAGGCTCACTCTGAGCGAGAGTTGGAACCATCTAATGTTCCTGATACTCATCTTATCTTTCGACCTGCAAGTGTATAATCTTTGCAAATGGGCTTAGAAGAATCAATCAATCAAAATCTAGAAGGTAAGGATTTATATACACTGCAAACTTATAGGCATACGGTATGAGTAGAATAACTTGGCAATTCTTTGGCGACCTTGTAGCTCTTAAACTTCGAGGGATTTCTAGAGCGACGGAACCTGGGGTGGTTCTATGGTTGCATTTACTGTTCTTAGAGTCGCAGGCCTCCTACCGTCACCGTCTCTTCATGGCCACTAATATGACCTTGCGACGCGTGAGCCAGGGAATATCCAGGTACGTTTCTGTGTCGGAATTGTAATTGAAACGTTCACTCACAGTATCCAATACTAGTTTTAGTCCTTGGTTAACCAAATATTGTAACTAGTGGTTAACCAAGTGTGTTGATCGTTCTCCAACTGCGGTTTTACCAAATGCATCAAATCTGAACCAAGCCTTTATGAAGGGCACCAATCTCACATCATATTGGACTGAAGCAGGGCCGAACATCCAAAGGTACAAATCTACTTACAACGAGAGCTTAACTTTTGGGTGAAAGCTCCGTTCCAATCCGGTATCATAGCGGTACGGCGCCAAAGTGGTTAGTTTCCAGTACTACGCCGAGCCTACAGCACTCATACGCCGCCGTACCTGTCCAGTGTTGATGTTGCTGCTTCAACTTTTGGATATAAAAACCATCGCTAGTCTAATATCTGGACACCAACCCTCTTG